TCGAAATCCAACCATTTTGATTTTTAAGTGATTTGTATAATTTCTACAAGTCTGAAAATACAGAAAATTATGTTCCAGGAGTGAGAGGTAAATTTGCATCCGGCTGAATATTTTCTTAATGAAGTAATAATCACATTTCTCTAGAATTAGATTGCGTTATGTCTGAGATTACTAAAATCTTTATCTTTTAACTTGATTTTTTATCAACTCCGTAATTCTTCATTAAGTTTAACTCAAAACTTTTACTAGAAGTTTAGTCGAATTGCATACATTATTAACCTTTTCAAATAGGACGCTATTCAAACATCAAAATATCCAGTTGACTCTTCGAGTTACAAACTATATTCAATCAGTTTGTGGGTTTGCTTGTTTACCGATTCAAAAAATAAATTTAAAAAAAACATCGTAGTATATATCACCATGTGACATGATTAATCAAATAATCATAAAGGGGAACTAATATCCCTTCCAACAAGCTATAACAAAATCCGAACATCTTAATATCAGAAGTCCATTCGAAATTATCGAAGATAGGGGGAATGGCTCTAATGTTGGTCCATGGATCTAAGATTGGCCCATCGCTAAAAATCTGCTATTTACCAATTTTATCTAGATAAACGCGTCATTGGGACGGTACTAATGGATATTTTTGGTCGCTATTGAAAATTTAGTCGATTGCTGAATTTATGTATGGACCCAAATTAGGGACAATCTTCGCTTTGCATGATTTACCAAATTTCGTATCACTTCGTAGGGTAAATGTCGGCTTCGGCACCCATTGACTGTTTTCGGCAACCAAAATTTAAACGTTAATTTCACTATGTTTTACCATCAACACACTTCCCTGAATGTATCCAAATGATTATTTAGTCTTTCAGCTTCAATCTGATTATATTTGTAGGACCGAGCAATCCTGTTATGCCAGATTTTTCTTCAAATGAAGCATACGTACTACAAAATGGGGCTGATTTCGAGTTGCCGATAATAGAACAGCTGGTTAACACGCAGTTCTAATGGGAAGGTTGCCGAAGAAAAAGAGGCTGCCGACAATAGTCACACTCACATGAGAAGTTTAGAGCGTTGTAAAAACGCTTTCAAACAGTTTTGAAGAATTCTGTCGATTGGAATGGATAGAGAAGCAAGCAGCAGATGAATTGAAACAAACAGACACGTCATATATGTGCGTGACGCTGTGAAAATGCTAATAGAAGTGCGGACGCTGCTTAGATTGACGAGAATACGTAAATTCCCCTATATATCACCATGTGACATGATTAATCAAATAATAATAAAGGGGAACTAATATCCCTTCCAACAAGCTATAAACAAATCCGAACATCCGAATATCAGAAGTCCATTCGAAATTATCGAAGATAGGGGAAATGCCTCTAATGTTGGTCTATGTATCTAAGATTGGCCCATCGCTAAAAATCTGCTATTTACCAATTTTATCTAGATAAACGCGTCATTGTCGGTACTAATGGATATTTTTGGTCGCTATTGAAAATTTAGTCGATTGCTGAATTTATGTATGGGCCCAAATTAGGGACAATCTTCGCTATCCATGATTTACCAATTTTCGTACCACTTCTGATAGCGATCCATATATTTCTACCTCGTTTGTCAGCTCAGATCAGCAAATGATGTTCGATAGCATTATTTACATCATCATTTTGGATGATTTGCGTGATGGGGCTGAACCAATACCATATGCATTTCAATTTGGGATGAGACAATCATTCTACAGAGAGCATTACATATTTCAACTGAGGTTCGTTTGCTTCTCGTAATTCATCCGGTATTCGAGAGTAGCATCATCTGATTACAAAACAACCGTCATCCGGTTGCAGATATCATTCGAAAAAGCGATTTCGATGTTTCGATTTGAATGGCCTAAAGTTTCATTCGAACAAAGGATGATGTTTTGGTACAGTGTTTACGGTATGAAAACCCTACAATAGCAAAACAAAACGAAATTTTGTCTTAAAATCTATAGAAGCTTTCATAATTTGGATTTTTTTTACCTTATTGTAAATGTCTGGTTCTGAAAGACCCTATGATCATAAATTGAACTCTAATCATTTTTTTTTCTAAATGATACGAAACAAAACGAATTTCCGGAAATTACAATCAGGAACACCAAATATAGCATTCAACTGAGAGATCTGACCCGCAGAACAAATTTCCGCATGTTTAAACTTTCATAATTCTGCTGTTTTCATTGCCAAAACCAATTACTATTCCGGCTTATACTGCTACCCTTCGCAAATACACAAACCATTCTGCTGACGCTGAAATATTTCCTTCCAAATTCGTTGGGTGGCTTTACCTTTGACCGACAGATGACGCAGTTGTGCCTGTTGCAAAGCGGTTCTATGAGAAAACGGAAGAGTTGCCAGTCTTCTTGATATGTTGTCTTCGTTGTAATGCTTCTTAGTTGGCAAAGACGCTATTAGTGGCGCGGCCGTGTGTATCTTACACTCAAAAAATTCCACACGTTTGATCGAAGTGTTTAAACACTTGATTTTTTTTTAAATGCACAATCACATTTACTTTAAGTGTATTTCACCATGATTCAATGTGTTGTACACGTTAATTTATAGTGTTTCAAACTTTAAAATGTTGAAAATCTTTTACTATCTAACTACTATCTAACTATCTAACTACACACTACTGTTCAAAACAGATGGATTTAAAGTGTTTTGCATTTAGATACGATGTGAATTACTTGCTCAGAAAGGTAAACATCGAAAACAAGAGTTGTGACTTTATCCTATCAACCCGCCTCATATATGAGAACAACCGTGACACAATGAGATCGAACGAAGACTCCGGCAGCAGCACACCCCAACAGTCCATGATCGAATCCCAAATCAGATATGTGAAAGCTCTGGCCTCTGGCAGTTTTGTTTATTAATTTTTAGAGTCGGTAAAGTAGAAGTCGATAAAGTAGAATATTGTAGTATATTGAACTATGATGTGCAAAGCTATTGATATCACCATATGAGGCACATAGAATCCAAGTGTGTCACAATTCAAATCCATAGTGTTCAGGCATGGTTCATAGCATAAGATTCACGATTCACACATGAAATGGATGTGTTTCACAATAAACGCAAAATTAAGTGTGAGAAACATGATGATGACGTGTGGAATTTTTTGAGTGTACTGAATGACTGAGTAAAAATATGTTGCTGCCATCCTCTTTTTCTCTCACGCAAATTTACTCTGTTATCGTAAGCTAAGAGGAAGAGGAGACAATAGTCCTTTTTGACGTTTAATTGCCTTTCTCTATCTAGCACACATGGATGAATGCACTGTTTGTTTTCCCACTAATCTGTTTCCCTCTTGCTCGCACTCGTTCGATTTAAATGGTGCAGTAGTGTGCGCGGATTAAACGTCAAAAAGCTCTATACGGGGGCGAAAACGAACCACTTTTCTGTCAAACGCGAACCAGCTCGTGATTGGCCGATTTGAAGTGCGTAAGATAGAGATAGATATAGATAGAGATAGAGATAGAGATTTACTCTTTAGCTTTAGAAGCTATTTGTCTCCTCTTCTTCTTAGATCGTAAGAAATGCAGTTACTCAGAGCTGTGAGAAACAGCAGTATTAACAATAACTGAGTTATATTAACGTAGGAAAAAAGAGATAGCGACATAATTTTTGCTCATTTAATGAGTAAGATTCCATCACCGAAAAACCGACATGAATGACCATACAAATTACAAAGAAATTTGCCATCGTGTTTGTGGAAAATATTTATCATAGCCACGAACACGCGTACAAAATTTATGAGTTGGTTCGTGTCTAATCAATTTCGGACAAAACATTTTTATCTAGATAAAACATTTCTATAGTTTTGACAGATGGGATTGCTGCACATTTGAATCGGGCGTTATGGATTCTCGATCAAGAGTTAAGTTTAAGTTTCGTTTCGGTTTGTCGGTAATTCCATGGTGGTGGGGGAAATTTCTAAAAACACAGGTCACTCAGATCTGAGTGACATGCATTTTTAGAAATTTCTCATAAAGCTGAGTAGAAATAACTTTCTCACTGAGTTAGTCTCAGAGGTCGTGTAGTTAGACATTTCAACACTACCACCATCTGTTGTACACGGTAAGAAAAAAGTACCCAACGGCTAGTTCACTTTTACCTACTTTTGACTAGTTTGTCTCTTTTTCTCCTTCTAATGTTGTCAAAAACGGAGGAGCAAAACCACCCAACAGGGGTAGTAAAATGTTGGAACACAACGTTGAGTATAATCATATTTACCTACTGTTGGGTACAACTAACTTACTTTTGGTTAAAAAGCTAGTGGAAAAATCCTTACGTACTGCACACAAGTAAATGAAAATTACTTTGACCCGCTTTACTTACTTTTGGGTTCCTGCACTATACTTACTTTTGGGTTCCTGCACTATACTGCCGAGATGAGTGAAAGAACTTAATTTTAGGTAATTTTTTATTACAGTGTACACACTACTCTTTAGAGTGGTGTCAACAAATGGCAGTAGTGTTTTATGGGTTGTTTTACAATAAACAATATTCTTCATACCTATTTGTATTGTACAGCTTATAACTGGATTTTACCATATTCCAACAAACTACAAACGCAAATAGTTTAGCAATTATATGTTTTTGGACTATTTATAAGGATTGATCACCAAGAAGTATAAGTGTAGATCAACCAGCCTGTGACAGCGTGCCTAACTGCGAGATGACTGTTCCGGTAAAACGGGGTTAATGAACATTGTTGAAGCCAAACCAAAAACAGCAAGAACGACAAAAGTTTATTTTTAAGTGCTTAATATAAATGTAGAGGGTGATAAGGGGTAAGAATACAGTTCAAAAGAAAATAAAGACTGACAGCGAGAAAACCAGAAAGAATTGTATGCAGGGTTAAGTACAGGTGCATTTAGGATAGAACATAGAAATCAAACAAACAAACACAAGAAAAACTCAACATATTCACACAGACAGCACTATAAGATGAATTACCATATTCTAATCCGTGGTCGTAAAACTGGCCTAAAAATGTACAATAAAGTGGATAGAAAAATCATTGGTTAAGTGTTGGTATTCGGTTTTTCAAATAGCTTGAGTATCTTGTTGTAGAAATCGAAATCATAGAAATAGGGGAAAAAGTTCAACTTCAGGCTGCACGATAGAATTATTTCTTTTTATTCTGAACACACGATAGCATGGGAAAATTTAGTGAGCGGATAGAATTCTTGGGAAATAACAGGTGAAACGTAGGAAACGTAAGAAAACCGTAGGAACTATACCAATCAAAGCCCAATCGTCATAGCCACTAGTTTTACGGGTAAATTCGAACCAAACATCATTACAGGGATAGATCGATTAGAGTTTCGGGAGGTTCAGCATAGCCAAAAAGGAGCGAACACTATCTAATAAACTATTCACTATCGTTCCTGGCTGAGAATTATTAGAGGAAATACTCGGAACAGAACCAAAACGAAACGAAACGGAGTGTGTTCGACTAATTCTGTATATGGTGATGTGGCTGCACGGGAAATGAGTGAGGAACAAATTTAATTCGACATCCTCCCACACATCCCAATCGCTGTATTGTTTTGTTTTTCAATTTGTGAACACAATCGACTGGCAAATGGCACACTTACTTGATCGTCGCTGTTGGATTGTTGTCGTAGCGCACCGTTAGCGTCCGGTTGTCCTGGGTGGGCGTTCCCGGGTTGGAACTCTTCTTCTTTAAAGCTGATTTCAATGGCACTGCGTTGAATTTGGGCTCCTTCGCAGGGATCTCATCGATACGGTTGGTATCGATGTTGGGATTTGGTTGCGACATTGTGTACATGTACTCCTCGTCCGAGTCGAGTTCATCGTGATCATTGTTTTCATGATCTGCGGCGAAAAGAATGGTGGGATGCAATTTAGTGTGGAGTCGAAGTTGATTACTTTATAAGTAGGTATTTGTGGTGGTTCTCAACAATCTGAAAACTTAAGGTAAAAATTCTTTAACAAACAAATAGTTTTGACCCTGTACGTAATTTGTTGTTATCAGTCATCCCAACGAATAACCTAGCTGGTTAAAAGCTGTATAAGACTAGTCTGATTTTTGGCAGCATACGTCAACTTTTGTCTGTTTAATCTGTTTCGCAGCTAAAATTGTTTGTTGAACCGTGCCATTTTGGTACACCTTCCCTATATTGTTTTGAAAAGAAAAATCTTTTAAATATAATAAGAATTAGGACTATAGATTGAAAAATTGAGGCAATCAAACAAATAAAAATTATATAAAATATTAACAATCAATGTTCTGAAATATTTTACAGTAATACATATTTCAAATCTAAGTAACCATTAGTATTAGTCTGATGCTTCAATTCAGCACTACATGGCGTTGGAAGGTGTGATAAGAAAAGCTTGGATAGACACGAGTGGCACGATTTTCAGGAAGTCCATCAGGCTAGGCGGATTGGACTTGCCATCAATGCATCGAAGACGAAATACACGAGAGGAAGAAGTTGTAGCCTCCCATCCCGAGTTCAGATTGACGCTGACAAAATCGAAGTGGTCGAGGAGTTCGTGTATTTGAACTCACTGGTGACGGCCGAAAACGATACCAGCAGAGAAATTCAAAGACGCAATATAGCACGGAATCGTGCCTACTTTGGACTCCGGTCGAATAAAATTCGATGCACCACGAAGTTACTATCTACAAGACGTTGATAAGACCGGTGGTCCTCTACGGCCACAAGACCTGGACTATGCTCGTGGTGCTTTCGAACGGAAGGTGTTGCGGACCATCTACGCTGGAGTGCAGATGGAAGACGGAACTCGGAAGAGACGAATGAATCACGAATTGCATCAGCTGTTGGGAGAACCACCCATCGTTCACACTGCAAACATTGGGTGACTACGGTTGGCTAGGTACATCGTGAGAATACCGAATGACAACCCAGTGAAATTTTATATACCTGCTAATCTATCTGATTTCATCGTACTTCTAAAGCACGTTTTGGCTGTATCCCACGGGAACGTATTTTTCACTTTTAGGACCATAATTAAATTATGGACAGAAGTAAATAAATGAGGTAGTTATGATTTCATATAATGAGAATCCTGCCCAGAACATGTGAAAAATAACAGAAAAATATCATTATGCCATGCGTGAAGGAATTCAATAAAAAATAAAAATATTAAATAGCATTGATTTTCCACCAGAAAAGCTAAAACTACCACTCACTCATCTGGTCATATCTCAAAAACTGTTTGTCTAAATCATTTACCTTTCGAAACACATCAAGTACAAGAATTTCCAAAGTGTTGTGAAAATTTGAGCCCACTCATGGTAAAAATAGGCCATTTTTGGACCATTTTGATACCTGCCGGTAATCAGTCTGTTTACTGTAGTTACTATAACAAAAACAAAATGTGGGTACACCTATGTGAACCTACATTAAAAAATCTTTCAATTGACGTTCTAAGATCAGGAATAGCGTATTTGGTTGTGGAGTAATCTCTTCTGAAAGTTGAATTTTTTTTAAATCTCGAAAATCCAGGGTTGTAGCCCAGAAGAATCTAGGCACTTTAGAGCAAAATTAAAAAAGGCGTTTGTTCAGAATGCCAAAATAAGCGTTTTGGCCAAGTTTGGCTCAAATCGCTGACATCGACCACAACTTTTTTAAATTCTGTACCCACTTGAGCTGGAATGACCCATACTTGAAAGTAATTTCTCTCTGAAAAAGTGATATTTTCGGTACAACGCAACGTATGCTCCATCCAGGTTAGAAAATATATATGGGGTTGAACGATCGTCAGCCGGAGTGGATTGTTGAGATGTAAGGAGCTCGGTGGCATAGTAGCGGTCAATTTTTGCTTACTGATCAGAAAATCGTGGGATAAGTCCCAGGCTGGTCTTTACTATAGCCGTCAGAATATAATGTTTTTTTTTGAGTTGAAGAAAACGCAGCAAATCGCTACTTATAGAAGTTGGTCAGAACGTTGAAGCCTGATACGGTTAATTTATTGCTCCCAGGGATGTTATTCTATTTTAATAGCAATATTTCACTGGTGTTGAGCGCAGTATGGTTTGCTATAATGTAAGGATCTCGGTGGTCTAGTGGCGACCGCTTTTGCTTACAGAGCTGAACATCGTGGGCTCAATCTTAGACCCCTTCACATTATAGTCAATAATTCATTCTCTTGGAGTTGACTCTGTCTTTGAAACATGAGCTGTTTTTTGACAACTTGGGACATTCGGTCTAATGACATTCGGAGTAATGTCATAGAGCAGACAACTCGATCATAATTTTTTGAAATTTATAAAAGAATTTAACTGAATTTAAGACAGGGACAGGGATAATCAATTTCAATGCCTTTTTGACATTATGGAAAGCCTAGGCCATTGTGACTTATTTTGGACAAATTTTGGCGATTTTAGGGCCATTTTAACGTTTCATGATTCATGTCATTTTCAGGCCAATTTAAAAACGCTAAATTGGCCTGAAAATGACAAATCTCATGAATCATGCAATAAAAATAGCAATTATATACCGTGTAAATCTTATTCTGACGTTTTAAAGCTTATTTAAGTATTTTCGAGATTATTTTGATCGTGTTTAGGCTGTTTTTAAAAGCCATTTTAGCGTTTTGGGGCCTTTTTTGCGATTTAGTTTTTAGTTTTTACGGTCATTTTGGTCTTGAAAGTAGGTCTCATGTCGTTTTTTACAGCATTATGAGGTGGTTTTCTAATTAGTTGCAATACTACATTATTGTTCTGATACTGCTCATGCGATTAGATAACTTTTTCAGTGTTTTCAGATCATTTTCGCACATTTGAGGTCGTTTTGGATTGATTTGTCGATTTAATACAATTGTGTCGTTTCTATTTTATCTTTCTATGCAGAGGCTGTTTTGGAGTTTTAAGTCGTTCAAATGCCATGTTTTTATGAGCATTTTGGTCACAGAACATCTGGATTTAATATTGGTGGGTCGCGAGCTTATAAAATTCCTACAAGTGGATCGCTATCGAGACAAGTTTGAGAATCACTGTCATAGAGCCTTGCTCGGATCAATCTCAGAGACCTTATAAGAGTGTTGTTTAGAGATCTTATATGTACCTTTACGGGTCTAAGTCTAGATATCTAGCCAATTTTAGCGACCGTATGGTTCAATTGTAGCCGACTCTTGGCTCGGTGGAACTTCTGAGATCTCATGGATTAAGTTCAGGTATTCCTTGGATCGTTTCTAGAGGATTTATGGGTAAACTTCAGAAAACGTGGATGGCCTTATGCGTCGTGATAACATCTCTCAGGTTGATTTCAGAGGCCTTGTGATAACACGTTCCTCGGTGAGACTTCACCTGCTGTACATTGTTACACCAACTAACTCGGTTCGTTGCTCCTTGTCTTCAGTTGCTTGAGCATCCTACACTTCCAAGATCTTGCTCCACTTGGTCTAACCTAACCACCTAGCTCGCTATGCTCACCATTTTTGCGGGATTGTAGTCTGGCATTCTTACAACATGTCCCGCCCTTTGTGCCCTGCAAGCGGCTCTCAGGATACTGGGCTCACCATATCAATCTTAACTTCAGATATCTTAGGGCTTAACCGGATTCCTGAGTGTGGACTTAGATTGCCTTACGAGATAACTAGAACGCTCAGCTCAACAAGTCAACTCTAGAGACCTTATGAGTAAACTTATGAGGGCTGCTGAATCCACTTACAGCTTTAAGAGTCTAGATGTCTCAAAAGCATAATTTTGACGACCGCATGATTCAATGTCAGGCTTGTGGCCGCGTTGGCAACTCCAGAATCTCGGCTCAGATATCTCTTGGATCATCTTCAGAGTTCCCAAGGGTCAATTCCACATATCTCCACAGGATTTTTTTGGGTTAACTTTTAAGAATTTATATGCTAGTTTGTGAGGCCTTACGAGTACACTCCAGAAACCTTTCGATCTAATTCTTGAGAAGTTAGTATAGAGGGTTAACTCCAACTATCTCTCAACTCAACTTCTGACGCCTTGTGGTAACATTATAAGTATTATGAATCAACTCAAAAGGTCTTACGGGTTATGTTCAACTTTGATGGTTTTAAGCTTAACTTCAGACATCGTATGGGTTAACTTAAGCCTCCTGAATCCGATGTTCGATTACCTCACAGGATAACTGCGTAACCTTCCTAGTGCATTGGGGTCATTTTTGGCCTGGCGACACTTTTACAAAGCTGTGACTTTGTAACGATAAAAGTTAGATATGAAATTTCATGACATTTCTAACTTTCTAAAAACGAACGTTTTGCTGTCAAACGAAGCTTTCAGAGATCTATAGATGTGACACATTGTGCTTTAGCGACTGTTACAGACAGTTACAGACTGCTACTCACTCCCAAAGATCAATTTTTCAACCGATGTTTGATCTCTTGGCTCAAATGAATAATTAAGTGTCTTAGAATAGCACCCTTATTTGGTTTTCTTCGATTTGGCCATTCCGGACACATGGTCACCTGGCAGCGGTTCCGGTAGGACCCAAAAAGGACACTTCCAATACTTCCTGCATTGGTACCGTCCGACGGCTCAAAATTCATTCAGAAGTAATAAAGACCAACAGATGGATCTGACCACTTCCGGAATTACGGAACCGGTTCCGGTATTGCTCAAAAAGGACACCTCCAAAACTTCCTGTACTGGTACCGTCCGACGGTTCAAAATTCTTGATTTTTCATCTAGAAGTAGACAGACATCATACCATGGACCAACAGGTGAATCTCACCACTTCCAGATACCCCCAAGCCGGATATGGTATGGCCCAAAAGGACACTTTCTAAAGCTTATGTACTGGTACCGTCCGACGGCTTAAAATTTATGATTTTTTATCCAGAAGTAAATAGGCATCATG